CTACTAACACCATTCCCGGAAAACTGCTGTTTGTTCATATTAGCTAAATGGCAGACATCAATATTAGTCAACGTGTTTTTTCCCTTTTCGTTTTTTCTCTCAGCAGATATAATAGAAAAAAATAACGATCAAGCATATGGTGATGATAAAGTGAGGACAATTCAGGATGACTATAGTTTGATTATCTATATCTACATTTTCTTATCCACCTTCCAATTCACCAACCCGCCCACCATGAATGTTTGTATAAACTTACTTAGATGTGAAAAATATGATGAAATATGTGTATCTGGAGTCTGTAAACTACCTATGAACCAAAGGAATTAACACTCGGTTGGTCACTGCATCGTAATTCCTTTGAAACGCAAAATCCAAGGCATTTTTACAATCTATTTCGATTATATGTTCCTTGGTAAAACCTCTACGAGAAAGAATATTTTTGATGTTTTTTTTTCTGTGCGTGTGCGTTGTGTTTATTTCTTCATCACTTACGGTATGGTAAGATACACTTACGGTATGGTATTACGGATTTCGAAGCGTATTGCATCAAAAATGTTTATTTCAAAAGAATGACACACTTTATGCGAAAGTAAATATTCCTTGCAACGTGATGAACTGCAATGATCAGCTAACCATTTCATAACTTTAATTTTCGAACAGCCAATACACCATCAGCGAGCAACGAGCAACGCCGATCAACAAGTAACCTTCTGTGCAACGCGGAAGCCAAAGAGGAAACGCGCCAATAATGGTGCTATATTCGTGTTGCAGCACATGACATTATCCACCTATCTCCCACTAGACTTGTTCGCCATTTCTCTTCCTTGTACCACTCGCCTCTCTCTCCTACGCCTATCCCTTACTCCCCCTTTTGTAACTATCCTCTTTTATGCTTCCGCTCCTCCTCCTTGCGCTATCCCTCATTCCCCGACTCATTTCCTCCTCTTCATTTACCTACTATCCCTAACCCTCATTTATCCATCCCCCTCTCTCCTTCCCTCTATTCCACTAGTCCCCTTCCTCCTCCCCACCCTTCAATTCATTCGCCCTCCTCCCTCCCTCCCCGTTCTCCCTACCCCTGAAACATCCATCCCCTTCCCTCCTTTCCCCCCACTCCTCTCTACCCCTCATTTATCTATCCCTCTCCCTCTTCCCTCCCACTCCTCCTTACCACCCATTCATCAACCCCCTCCCTCCTCCCCCTCCTCCCTACCCTCATTCATATATCCTTCCCCCGTTCCTCCCCTCCCTCCGTCCCCTCACTCCCCCCACCCCCTCCTTCCTTCCCCCCCCCACCACCCTTTTCCATCCACCCCTCCCTCCCTCCCTGATCCCATCCCCTCCCCTCCCTACCCTGATCCATCCACCCCTCCTCCCCCCTCACTCCCTCCTCCCCATCCTCCCCCTCCCTCCTTCCCCCCGCAGCAGGCAGACCCGGCAAGAGAACAGACCTCGAACCTCTGTTCATTTGCATTGTGTTCACGTCATAAACTATTCTTGGGCCTTTGTTGCTCTTACATAATAAAGTCCCCGAGGTTGCGCGGCTACGAAAACGCGTGTGCGTGTGCGTGTGCGTGTGCGTGGTGTGTGTGTGTGCGCGTGCGCGTGTGTGTGTGCGTGCGTGTGTGTGTGTGTGGGCGTATGCTTGTATATGTATGTGTACTTGTGTTCATAAGCAAAGGCGAATACATATTCACAGGCAATTAAAGGAGAGAAGAGGGAGGGGAGGAAGAAGATAGGTAGAGGGGAGGAAGAAGGTAGGGAGAGAGAGGAAGAGAGGGAAGGAGGGAAGGAGGAGGAGGGAGGGAGGAGGGAAGGAAGGAGGAGGAGAAGGAAGGAGGAGGAGGAAGAAGGAGGAGAAGAAGGAGGAGAGGAGGAAGAAGAGAGAGAGAAGAGAGAGAGAGAGAGGAGAGAGAGAGAGAGAGAGAGAGAGAGAGAGAGAGAGAGAGAGAGAGAGAGGAGAGAGAGAGAGAGAGAGAGAGAGAGGAGAGAAGAGAGAGAGAAGAGAAAGAGACTGTAAGGAGAGGAGAGTAGGAGAGAAAGAGAGAGATAGTAAGAGCGAGAGAGAGGAGAGTAGGAGAGAAAGAGAGAGATAGTAAGAGCGAGAGAGAGGAGAGACGCTCCCGGAAATCGAGACTTCAAAGCGCTATCAAAGACGCGCACGAAAAGACGTTGCGTGTGCGGCGGGCTCCGAGTCGGCGAGGGGCGGAGGCTCCCACTGATAGCGCCGCCCCTCGGGCTGCTGACGAACAATATGACAGGAAACATTTTGGGCGGGGAGCGCTATGTAGGATTTCATTCACGTGCTACTGATTCTTAACAAGGGAAAAACAAAATTCTTACTTGTTATCCAACTTCTGGCTCATTTTCATCATCCACATCTTATTCTATGACATGTGCATTTACAGGCTTGTGAGTGAATCCATACAACTATCGGAGAAAAAGTTTCGCGTCGAGACTTACACTTCCGACGCAGGGCCACGTACAAAAAAGTCAAACGCCAATCAAACTTTTCCGCGAGAGAAGACCGCGAAACAAAAAGAAATCAAAGAGCAGTAAGAGAGCGAGTTGAAACGCCGCCTGAGATTGGGTTTGTGTTCAGGCTTCATCATACCACACGCCGGCCGAAGCCCCAGCGCAGTGCCATTGGCTGCCACCCAATCAAACTTGGCCTGAGTCGAGGACGAACTTCCAAGGACGACCGCCGAGATCAGACATCCTTCGTTCACCCTCGGAACATCCTTGCAATTCACCCTATCCTCATCTCACTCCTGTTTTATCTTCACATTTGTCTTGGATGCTTCTCTTACTCAAATATTTAACGTTCTTATGTCTACTAGAAGCAGTCCCTCTGAATCAACTTATCCTTAATCTCTTACCTCTCCTTATAAAAATTCATCACACTTAGCTTATTTCCACCCTTCTGCCTCCCCCTAGTTAACTTTCACAATAAACTATCTGCTTCCTTAAACTCGCCCTTTTACCTCCCTCCCCCGCTTCCCTCCGCAACTAACCCCTCACACTTATCTCTACCCTTTTAGGCTTCCTCTTTTGCCCCCCCCCCCTCCCTTGGCTCATCCCCCATCTCTGACCCTAAGACACGAGTCATAATTCAATTTAATTGCGAATCTTACAGGCGATTGACCCGGTAATGATGTCTGGCAGTGGCTTAGGGTCGTTTCCTGAATGCCAACAAATCATTCGCTGTCGTGGCTGGAACAGATTAGCTCGTCAGGCAAGAGACTGGCCAATCTGCATTGCAGCAGGGATTAATGACTGCCAATGGAAAATATTAGTCGAGTTAAAGCCGACGGAACAGCCAACAATTGTGACATGAATGGCACTTATTATTCACAATGTTTTCAGGACAATATTGACGCTGCATTCACATAATTCTCCACAAAAAAGAAAGCCATGGCAACGCAGCACAATCGAGTGCTACCAAAAATATAATTGATTTCGTACTTGCAGATCGCTGTTATTACCTACCGTGAAAATCTTTTTTTTTCTTTTTAAGTACAAGAAAGGGAACAAAACGTCTCATAACAAATTCGAATTTCGCTGCGAAGTCTAAACTGCCCGCCGAATAGGCACACATCCATCCTTTGCAATAGGACCTGTCGCTTACGCCGAGTTGCAACATTGATTCTAACAAACAGAGGTCATCATTTACAACTTATAGCTATACATTAGCTGTCCCTTTATAGACGACAGAGACCCTCTGACTCAATAACTACATCCAATATTTCCATGACAAGGGGAGCCAAGAGATATCTGCTGGGATGTATTCAGACTTTGAAAATGGGGCTATTAATATGTATGAATAAATATATGACTGTAAAAAAATATTTATCAGTCTATATCTATATATGTCTAAATACACGTGCGCGCGTGGGCGTGTGTGTGTATGTGTGTATGGGTATATGTGTTTGTGTGTGTTTGTGTGTGTGTGTGTGTGTGCGTGTGCGTGTGCGTGTGCGTAAGCGTGTGTTTGTGTGCGTGTAGTACATTTATACTACTTATACATTTTACTTAAGAAATTACAGAGTACATGTAACTAACATGAATATTGGATTAAACTTCATAAAACCATTCTCCTAACAGAATCATCGCCATTATCATTCCCACGGGGTGTGTGGAGGAGTAGTATAAGGCACCAAACCCCCCTCCCCCCGCCCATGACTCCGGCCTTGAGCAGCCTATAATATTCGCGCCCCGATGTCCCTAACGAGATGCAAAAAAGGAGAGAAAATGAGAATAGATTAGCGGCCTTTCTGGAGCGCGCGTACCCTGATAACACCACGAACTCCAAGCCAAATTAAGCCAAGCCAAGCCAAGGTAAAAAGCCTAACCCAACCAAGCCCAGACCCGAAGAAGGCGGCGGCTTGGCTCTGCTCCAGCGCCCTAATGTATGGCCATACACCTTTCGCCTGATCCTCCCAACTTATTTTCACGACGACTTTCCAGCGACTCATTAACCCACTGGGAATTTACGAGTTTCTTAGCCTCCGGGAACTGCTGTGTTCTAAGAGGGACAGCCATTTAGTTATCTCTTACACGCAAGAAGAAAAAATGAATAAAATATAGACGTCTAACTGATACATAATCCCATAAACCGGGGGATGGCTGAGTCACTGAAAAATGTGCGGTATTTAGTCACTGGACCCATTTGTCACGGAGTTGTGCCAAGAATGCGGATAAATTCTTGCAGTAAATGTTGCAATTAACTTCTTTCCCGTCTTTATTTATGGTACGTGTCAGCTGGTAGCTAAAGGCATCCCTACATCTGGTAATAAGACACAACGCTGCAAGTAACAATGTTTAACTAGAACTAAAAAACATCTTCCTGACAATTTACTTTACCTTACTGCGAGTTACGGGTATATACACCGACCAGAATGCCGATCTTCATGGTAATTACGCACTATGTTCCAATTAATGCACCGTGGCTGCGTAAAAAACGAAGAGATTCTTCGGTTTATGCGGTAAAACTCGTTGTATAGCCTCATAATAAACATTACGAGACTTCACTTTCATTGCACTCGAGGTCAAGTTGAGACTGAATTTGAAATTTTGAAAAGTCGTGCTTTTCTGTACGTCTCATTACGTGATTGGCTCATTATTTCATCACGTGACCTTCACCACCAATGGCGTAGCAACCAGCGAGTTTCCCGGATGAGAGCGACTCAGGCGCGAGATGGAGACGAAAAAATCTCCGAATTTCATTTTTTTAACGATATTTCCATAATTATTGGATTTGTTACAATAACAGACTTAGACTTGTAACAAACGATAAAACAAAGTATAATTACAATACCTATAGAAAACCACATAAAATAATATAAACTCCGCAAGAGAATCATAATAAATAAAGCCAAATTACTCACCATTGATGGACAAACCGGGAGCGGATGTAAACTTGGCCACGTCGACGATCTTGACCGCGAACTGTTGCCCAGTCTCTCTGTGGACGCATCGTCGCACCAGACTGAACGGACCCCTGAAAAAAAAATAATAATAATAATTTAGTAAACGCACAATCGTACTGTCGCTAATTCAAACATTTCTTGTATATGAAAATTATTAGAAGATAAAGTAAAGAAGTAATCATAATGTAAAATACAACATATTTGACCTTATTTGACATATGTTAGGGAAGATCATCTACTGTACCAGTCTTTCTTCCCCAAAAAGATACAAGGAATAAGTGCTAGGTTTATTCAAAGCAAAATTGTAAGAACAAAGAAAAAGGGAAGTATGAATGTAACGGCATATGCCAAAAATCCTAAACTAAGGCCTTTGTTTCGGAATAATGATGCCCATTTCATAATACATAATTCATATCTAAGACATAAGGAGTTGTTGAACACTACTACTCCATCATATCTATATCTCCTCCATATTAAACTTACATAGGCCTACAGTCTCCCAAGAGACACTAAAAAATTCGGCGTTGTGGGATTTTAATATCACTTTGGAGACACACAACCGCAGGGAAAGGTGGTGTATCTTACTAAATATTTCATGTCAAGAGGCAATTTCACTTTTCTCTTGAGCACCATATGTACGTGAACAAGAGTTTATGACCAGCATGCTCACGGAACATAACATACTGTAGGCCTACTTTCATGACCCATTCGGAAAGTTTACATAAACTCCAAAGAATAAAAGTGCAAATAAAATCTTCAGCTCCTGTGAAAAAAATGTAGCATTTAAGGAAGCTCACAAACAAACAGTAAGAGAACAATAAATGTGTTTTGCCGCTTTATATACTTCATAAATATCTTGGAATGTCGCTTGCTTGGATCTCGAGAGTTGCCATAAACATGACGAACACTCAAAAGGCTGAAAGCTAAAGCAATCTGATAAACGTGCGTCTAAAGTATTCTTCTACTGGATATTTAGCGATATGGATAACATAGCCTATGAGTAATTTCTAATATAGAACATACAAAAAGATACTAGGGCATTAAATTCCTAATGTATTGTAATGTACTCGATTTTCAAACTAATTGGTATCAGGTACATCCAAATTTTGCAGTGTAATAACACAATGTAACTAGACTTGTCCATGTAAAAAAATACCATATCTTGAGTATGTAAGGTGGAAAATAATCATGACCAGACCCATATATTGCATTGTGATTATCAAACTTGAAACGGATGATTATTTCTTTTGTGTCAACATCAAAAGTCTCACCCTCATAGCATATCATATCATATTATATCATATTCCTCATAGCATATCATATTCCAAGAAAACAAATTCTAAAGTATATAAAATATACGTTGCGGAATACACCTTGTATTTCATCATTCAAAAGGAGTCATTTGATACTGTTTCATCATCCTTGAGCAAAGTTTGATACTCAGAGAAAGTTCTTAACTTAGATGAGAGAGTATATTTTTCCAAACTGCCATGTCCAAGCACTGTTCAAAAGTAGAAGTTCAGATTACAAAAAACCGTCCGATTTTGCCTCTTTTTTTCTGTTGCCATTTAGCGTTTCAGTGTAAATGCTGATAACAGCGATCAAATTGGAAAAAAAAACAATTCCTTTGTCATCAGGGTATTTTGTTTTCAATCGACATCCGCGGAGAGAATCCTTGCAACTCCGTGGCAACAAGAGCTCCACTAAGATCTTAAAATATCTTAAGAGAATCTCCATAGATTTCATAATCTCGAGGAACGAATATCAAACTAACTTACAACTAAAAGCTGGCGCATGAGTTACAAAGTTGAAACTAGAGAGTGTGATGTGTTACCTCCTGGAGCGAATCGTGAAAGCACTATTCCAGAAAATAAACCCTCAATTTGGAGTCTTGAGAATGATTGATTCCTGCATCTTGGACAGAAGGCCTATAACATCTCCTATAATAAACCTATTTTTATTATCAATACATTTTCAAGAGTCGTCAGTGTAAAATATTCCCTAAACGTAATCAACGTTTAAATAGTGAGTAAAATGAGCACTCCATGATTTTGTATTTCAGAGCATAATA